TATACATAAAAAAATATTTTAAAATAAGATGCTCAATATATCTAATTTAAATAAATCCCTAAAATTATCTCAATATTTTTAAAGTCTTAAAGGTTTTCTAATTATTATTTGTATCCTATAATATTACTTAATCCACTCCTAGATTTTATATAAATATGTTTATACATATTTAGTGATAGATTATGCTTATAATGTGTTTATAATATTTATATTTTTTGTTAAATATAATTCAATTGAAAATTTGAAATTAAGAACACATTTAGTTGTCAATGTTTTTTGTATTAGTTATTAATGTCTGCGCTCTCAGTTGTTAATAATAGCACCGTCAATTGTTAATTTTCTTGGTCATTGTCATTTTGAGAAGTATTTTGTTTTTTGTTTAAATAAGTAAACAATATTGAAATAGGTCATACATAATATGAAACTAAGTAATAATATTATGTGACTTGTCAATTTTCCTTGTGTAAAATGTGTTGTCAACCACTGGAGCATCACTTGTCAATAAAGCTACACACAATTGTTAATGGTGGCACTTTAAATTGTCGGCGCAATCTAATCAGCTATTTTTTCATTGTAACATTTATTTAGTCAAATGCAAAGTATATCATTTATAATAACAAGTGAAATAAACAGCAAAAGCGTTTATTTTTCTCTTCTTGTTTTAACTTTTGCCTGATAGTATAAGCAACACTTTATTTTAATGCAAGTTGTTCTTATGAGTAATAAGCCACCATAGGCATCCAACTTTCAGATCATGGACATCATGCAAGTTGAACATGAACTTTTGCCCAATTAACTTGCTTATCTATTTGCTCCTCATGCTCAAATGATTCTGGCTTCACCCTACAAACTATTTGGTAGAAGCAAGCTTTCTATGCCAAAAAAAAAAAAAAACAAAAGACACTAAGCGAAATGACAAGTTTGCAGCCTATGATAATAACTAATAATTCAATAATTGACAACTACTAATGCAGTGATTAACATCTAATGTATAAATTAGTCTTTATATGTTGCTCATTTTTTGATTTCTTTAACATATGCAAATTGAAAGTTTGAAAGATGAAATGCATAACAAGATTCAATATGCAGATTTTCTGAAATGATGAATTTTTCATACTCTTTTAAACTTAAAAGAGGGTAAGGCAAGAAATTCACTTTCTTCACATATTTTTGTTGTGTAGATGGAAATACTAGCTCAAAAATATCTTAACTAAAATTTAGAGCGGCTTGATATTGAAATAAATTTTTTTGGCTCAATCCTTGATCTTGGAGCAATCATCCCACCATATCAACTTGGTGGTCATTGCCCATTCTAACTAAAAACAAATTCATTTGTCATTATAGCTGATAATGATGCCTATACATGACCTCAGAGGCCACACAACAGAATCCAAAATTGTATGTACAACTCCAGAAATAACAAGCCAGATAACAACTTCAAATCCATGCATTTCACATTTTGACTTAAGCAGCCTCATCTTTTTAATTTGTAACATAAATAAATAAATAAATATATAAATAAAGCCCTTTATTTTTATTTCCCCTTGCTTTTCAAGAGTTGATCTACCCATTCTTAATTTCTCTGATATAAGAAGAAATTAAACTAGTACAATGCAAGTCTTAATTGATTACACCGACAAACTAAAAAAATTAAAGTGAACCCATCCATATAATGAAACCATATGGGTTACACACTGGGACATTACGTCCTAATCAACCTCTTAATTACATACATATAATGACCAAATGAAGGCCTTGCAAGTAGATTATCTGTCGTAAATTTCTAATTTTCACATCTCCCACTTGCTCTTAGAATTTTAATTTAAAAAATTATGAAATTAAATAATTGTGGGCTGACACCAGTAAATTAATCCTAGAAAACCAGTGATTCGACATATTAGAACTTTTTAACTGATTTAGGAAAAAAAAAATAGATCTGATGTCTATGATGCATATGTGACAAATATTATTAAACTTGAATGAACAAATTAGATGCAACATTTTAACCCCACAAAATTTGCAAAGTAAGAGAAGGAATACATTACCGTAAACGAACAGCACACAGGGATGCCGATGGTGACAACGCTCCAACCACGAACAGCTTTAGTGACGGCAGTAACTTGGACGATCTTCAACGGCGGTGAAGGTCTTTGAGGTTCATTGCTTCCTTGAGCATGCGATTTTGAGAAGAGAGTAAAATGGACAATAAAGAGGACTGGGTTCAAAATTCAATCGTCTTTTCACTGTGTTTTGGCAGGAACAATGTAGTATTTTCATGTTTCCTCTTATTGCTGTCAGATCTCTTTGGGACCCCTGGTTAATTACCAAATTTGAAGGGATTTTTTTTTACAGTAGTTTGTCTTTTCGTGGAACCTCAATGTCATTTTCCCTTATATAAATAGTAAAAGCTTAGAAAAGCCACCTGGATATTAAAACTAGTGATTTAAAAGTTTAGTTTTGACGTGTACATGTATATGAATATGTAGGGGCGTTTTGGAAAACACATTTAAAAAAAGTGTTTTTTTCCGTTTAAACAAAATTCTTTTTATATATTCACCTTATGCGCTGTAAAATTACTTTAAAAAAGATAATGCAGATATCCCATAATTATGTATATGGAGATTGAAGCAAATCTAATATTACTTTTGATTTTTAATATAAAAACTTATTTGACTTTTATTAGTTCTAAATATAAGACCCCAATCCACTTTATCTCTCACATTTATTCATATTTTTCTCAAGACACTCATTGTAATAATGGTAGTTTTAACTAATATACTTGATTAGTAAGAATATTTTATAAAATACAAAACCTATTTATTATAAATAGCTAATTTAACTAATTTTTTTAATATATTCAATTAGTCAGTTCGTTCTTATATTAAAGACCGGAGATAGTATAAAGATTATCCTATGATAGAAGATATTTTGAAAAAAGTCATAATTTTTGTTTCCAAACGAAAGAACATTATATAAAGGTAGCATACATGAGCGGCTTCCAAGTTGGGCCAAAAAAAAAAGACTACCTTCGATTTTTATTATAAAAACTAATTGACTAATTTAAATGGATTAAAAAAGTTTGTTAAGTTAGTTATTTGTAATAAATATGTATTATTTTTCTTAAAATATCATTGTTAATCATGTTTATTAGCTAAAACTACAATTTGATGAAAATTTTGATATGTGCAACTATTACAAAAGCTACTTTAAGAAAAAAAGAATAAATGAGACAAAATAAATTAAAATCTTATAATTAAAAATAAAATAAAAATTAATATGTGTAACTACTACAAAGACTACCTAGGGGTGTTTGGCAATTTCAAAAAAAGTGCTTTTTCACTCCAAACCATGGTTTTGGTCAGACATTATCCAAACAAACAGATTTTTTAGAAAACCTTGGTTTGGCCCAAAACCTCCAAAACCATGGTTTCATGAAAAGTAAAAAAAATATTGCTTTTTGAAAATGTGGTCCTTTTTTCCCCATTGTAATACTACTTCCAATCCTTAATATAAGAGTTAGTTAACTAATTTAAGCAAATTAAGAAAATTAGTTAAGTTAGCTATTTGTAATAAATATGTGTTATTTTTTTCTAAAATACCCTTTGTAATCATGTGTATTTGCTAGAAGTATTATTTGATCGGAGGTGTTTGGATAAAACAAACCATAGTTTGGAGAATAGCTTCTAGGAAAAAAGTTTTTTTAAAAATAGATTTTGAAAGAATAGATTTTTGTAAAAAAGTGATTTTGATAAAGTGAGAATGCTTGGATAGTTATTATCAGAAACACTTTTTATATGTGTAAATTATTAAAAAGGGCATAAGTTAATATGATAATTACATAAAAGATAAATTTTATAATATATTTTAATTTAAAGAAATAAATTTGTTAATAATATATTTTTTACCAACATAATTAATAATATATAAGAAAATGTAATTAATAAATAGTTAATATGTGTATATATATATTTATAAAATATAAGATTAAATATGTTTATAGAAAAATGATTATTTTGTCATATATTATTAATTGAATAATATATTATTAAAGCACTTCTGAAGGACCGAAGCACCGAAGGCAGAAGTAAGCTTATAATTGAATAACTGAATATGGGATGTTTTTTTATCATATATTCTTTGACTGCCATAATCATCATACAACGATCCTCAAAATTTTGCCCAGAAGCAAATTCGTTTTGCTTTTTTGGAAATCATGATTTTAGGCTCCAAAACCTTGATTTTTGGCTCAAACCATGGTTTGGTCATTTTCCCAACTGTTTAGCAAATATCTGGCCCAAACCATGGTTTGGAGTCTAAAAAGCACCTTTTTTTATATTTTGCCAAACAGACTCGAAATATTTAGTATGTGTAACTATTATAAGAATTATTTTGATAAAATAAATAAATATACGAAATAAAATAGACCAGAATTTTATATTTAGGACCAAATTGAATATCAAAATAGTTCTTATATTAAAGATGAGAGTTAGTATGTCGTGAAAATAAATTAGTTCTCAAAAAATATTATGGGATTTCATATTTAAAATCTTTAAGGTAAAATAATATTTTTCTGTTGACAAAAAAATAATATTTTTTCTAAAAACATATTTAATCTTATATTTTATAAATATATATACACATATTATATTTTATAAATACATATACATATACACATGTTAATTACAGTTTTCATATATTATTTATTATGTTGGCAAAACATATATTATTAACAAATTTATTATTTTAAATAAAAATATATTATAAAATCTAATTTTTATATAGTTATCATATTAATTTATATTATTTTTAATAATTTGTATATATAAAAAGTACTTTTAATAATAACTATCAAATACTCTCATTTTATTAAATTTATTTTTTTTTATAAAATCTATTTTTTTAAAAATTATTTTCAAAAATAGCTTTTTCTGGTTTGGATTATCCAAACACCCCTGCGCAGCGAGCTAGAAAAGCGCCTTTCAAAACTGCGATACTGAGGGTGGGGCAATATATTACAGTACTAGATTCTTCGAAGCCTTGGTGGATTTCTGCTCCTCTCTCCAAAGCTGAGCTCAAAGGCTGTATGGACGCCGGCGGCTCAGATTCCAGTGGTCGTGACTTCGAGACCGCTGACGAGATGTGGCGGGAACAAGCGGGTGATCCAGACAAGAAGACTGAGTGGTATCGTCACGGGGTTGGCTATTGGGAGGTACCTTATGTGCTCTACGCTTCCCATATCTATACCTCCTTTTCCCCCTAAAACTCGTAGTATCCAAGGTTGGGTTCGCTTGCTCTTCGAATATGTGATTGAAATTGTTTGCTGTAGGTCTTTGTTTGCCTAAAATATTTAAAGAAGTAGCATACATGTGTGGGAAAGGGGAGAATTTTGAGTTAGTTGAAGCTAAACTAAGAAATCTTTTAAGGAAACATCAAATAATGAATACTAGCAGGGACAAGTTGTCTGGTTTTACATGATAATGCAACAATAGCTTCTCCTAAGCGCTATGTTTTTGTTTGTTAGAATAGGGTGTGGAGGCATCGGTGGACGGGGTATTGGGAGGATTTGCAAATGTGAATGAACCTGATATAAATGATAGTGAGGCTTTCCTGAAAATGGTCCTGTCTGAGCGGTTTCCTACTGGTGTAAAAGACCGACCGATCGTTGCTCTTGGTACCCTCTCTTTACTTCTGTGCTGCACTGTCCCCTATCAGCTTACTTATGAATGATTCCATATATTTTATCAACTTGGCGAATGATGATTTTGGTTGAGCTGGAATATTCTTTTATTTTGTATTTTTGAAATTGGTAAAGAATCTAAATTTGGGTTTTCACCTCAAAATTTTACATATAAACCGCATTTTTTTTTATTTATAATTTCTGTTTTTAGTTGGCATCCAATTGTTGATATAAGTACAATGGTTTATATATATAATATTCTGAAAAAAGATTCCAGGATCAAGGTCCGCATAATTAGCTTCAATTCCATGAGGGGATGGTTAATGCATAATGCTTATCATATTATCTGAAAATGGAAAGCAAGAAGATTGTTCAAATTACTTATTTGAACTTTAGATAGTAGATACTTAGGGTATTTGAGTTGATTGTTTAGTTTGGTTGATTGGGCATGTTCTAAGTTTCTCGTATGTTTCAGAATATCGGCAAAATTCTCTTTATGTATGTGTGTTCTGTTTGTAGCTATGCCTGTGTGTGTGTGGGGTATTACCTCTGGTTAAGTTGTGAATTTTCTTTCGTCGATTCCGTTAACTGATATTTCATATAGTGAACCTCTAATCTTGCTTTTCGTTTTTCATTTTCAAAAAATTGATATATGCTTTTGTTGAAAATTTAGACGTAAAATGCTCTAAATAGTATAGTTTTTATCTATTAAAGATCTAACCAACGATCTGCTGAATTTCCAGACTGTGGTTCTGGCATCGGCAGGGTCACCAAAAACCTTCTTATTAGGTACTTCAATGAGGTATGTCAGTTTAATCTCCTTTAGATGTATAAAATCTTTGAACTGGCTAGCTTTCTCTCCAAGGGTCTTTTATAATTCATTAATATTGCATTCTTAGCGTGTGTTTGGATCTCTCTTGAGAGCTCTAAACGTGCCTGGGAAAATGGGAAAAGTTGGTTGGAGGCTTATCTGAAGATAAAAGCTTGTTTGGATTGGCTTTTTCTCCATCTGACTTGTGGAGAAAAAGCACAGCACTGTCGAACATGAGAAGAGGCTACAGTGGGCGTTATAAGACAGTTTGCTATTAGGTGCATTTAGATACCCCGATTTGCCCCTCCTCTCTCTTCTCATCACACATTCAAGCTCATCGAAGCTAAACAAGAAGAGTCACAATAGTGCACATTGACCTCTCTCTTCTTTCTCTCTCTAAGTTGTGCTTGAAGAAGAGGATCCAATCACGTGAACTAGCCCTCACAGTGCATCGAGCTTGCCTTCTTGATAAGAAGGCCAGAAGCTTTCACTCCCTCCATCCTCTTTTCCAACTTGCGATTTCCATCTGAAAAAAACAAGGAAGAACTGAAAACAAGAAGACCAGAAACTAGTTAATGAAGATGTGGTTTTGGGGGGGTGTTAATCCCACGTGTTCCTTCTTTATGCTAGGTCTTAGATCTAAAGTCACAATTGATGTATATGGTGAAGGGAAAAAAAAACACAAGAAGAAATAAATAACAGGGAAAAAAAGAAATTAAATTAAATTAACATAAAACAAAAATATTTAATATGTTATTTTTAACAAGAAAAGTATTTAATTCAAAAATTTTCAATTTCAATGAATTTTAATTTATATTCATATTTATCCATTATGTATATATTTAATCAATTAAAATTTATTTTCAAAATTTTCTCAATAATAACTGTTTTATTTTTATAATTTTAATTTTAATTATTCTCTAACAGTTATCATATTATAAACATATAATATAAATATGTATTATTGAATTAAGTTCATGTCTTTTTTAGTCATTTTATATCTATGCTTACTTTTCTATTAATCATCCAAATAAGTTTTAACTTGTCAAACTGACTTTTTTATAACATCAATCCAAACATAAATCGCATTATATTAATTGACTTTTACCCTAATTCACATTTGTAAAGGTCAGATGAAATAAAAGTTAGTTTTGCCACTACTAATCCAAACACACTCGTATAGATTTCTAGTGCTTCAATCCTAATAAAAATCCAGCTGTGTTGGAAAAGTTTGTTTATTTTGGTTTTAGGAAGGATTGGGTGTGGCCAGCTAATCTGTTTATTTGTTATTTTTATTTTTATTTTTGTCTAAACTATCAAATACACTAGTTTTGGCCAATAGAGAGGGCATAAAGCTTGTTTGAGCAGTGCACTGTCTGGTAAGTGGTGTTCTTGGTTAGGATGGAATGGAAGGTGATGGTGTTTAGCGGGAAGCTTCTTTCTACGCATACTATTTGGTAGAGAATGGGATGTAATAGCGTTGTAGCTCTAGATTATCACAATGACAAATGAAAAGACTATCAAATAAATTTGAACAGCTCCACATTTGATATGCTTTCTAAGGACTGTGCATGTAAGCTATCTTCTCATCGTGAAGTACAATTAAACATGTTTGTATGCAAGCTATCTTCTCATCCTGAAGTACAATTAAACATGTTTTAAGAGGACCCCAAAAAAAAAAAAAAACCCTAGAAATGCATTAAGCTCTAAATGCATTAAATCATACCAATATGGCTCTAAAATACATACGCACTTAACAAGTTTAGACTTTTGTTACCTCTAATCATGACTATAAAGTTTTTATAATTGATGGAGCAATTTATTATTTTGAATGCATATATAATTTTACTATATTAATAATTAATAGTACCCATTGTGTCAGCTTCTTGAACTTCTCAAAATTTGTTGTATAATGTTGTGATATTTGTATCAATGAATCGTGGGTGAGAAGTGCATGCTAGTTCTTAAAAGATGTTATCATCAAGCTGTCTTGTGCTGCCTCTATTATATTTCCCTGCAATTGTTTTGCATGTTTAATTGATGTCTACTAGTCTTACTTCATTCTGGATGTTATGATGATCTTATAAGTTAGCGCACTCTTTTATTTTCTCTTGTTTATAATGTGTAAATTTCAGGTCGACCTCCTTGAGCCAGTATCACATTTCTTAGAGGCTGCACGAGAAACTTTGGCTTCCGGAAATCATATGGATTCAGATATTCATAAGGCAGTTAACTTTTATTGTGTGCCTCTTCAGGTACACCGTTAGATGTCTAATTTACTTGAATGTGTATGTAGTGACTTTCCTTTATTAGGCAGTAGAATCAAAATCTCTTTTTTCTTGATTTTCTCATAATGCTTCTTTTCCAAAACCAACTTTTTTTTTTTGTGTGGTTATTTTCATTTTGTCAGTAAGAATCGATGAAGATAATGTCCGGAACCTACATTGTCACTTCCTTTTTACATTGTTTATTGACTTGTCCTTGCTTTAAGATGCCAAACATTTTAAAACATGCTGAATCATTTCGAAATGGCATCATTGTACGTCAAAGTGCTGAAGACAAAAAAAGATGATGTTTTGGCCAGTTCCCATCTTCAATGCCGTAAAACAAATGCAATGTATAGCTTATTTATGGCACTGTGGAAGAGAACAAATAGGAGGAAATGGAAGAATCGGATGAAAAGCATACAAACTATGCATGCATTGAAAATATGTGATAGCAGAGTACGGTAACAGCAGAAATGGAATGAAAATGACCAACAGAACAGCAAACAAAATTGTAAACCACAAATAGGAATGGCAAAGCATAGTGAAGATTGGTGCTTGAGATGGTGCCAGAAGGGAAATTTTGCATTTTGGGGCATTTGAAGGTGGAAAGGAACTAGCTGAAATGATGCCACATTTGGCATTGTTTTGTTATGTTTCAAAATGCTCCAGCACTACCACACCTGAGAAAAGATAAAAGAAAATAGAATGGTGCATATGTACCCATACCATATACATTATTGGATTAGTTTCCTATACAGTTATGGTACCTGAAATGGTGTATGCATGCATACTTGACTGCAGGCCAGCATAGCAGACCTAAGTGCATGGGCGAACTCTTCCTGCCCAAACCCCTGCCCCCAAAAAAAAAAAAAAAACCCTAATGTCTCACTTCTTACAGAGCTTCTTTAAGTGATGAGATAGATTCTTTTTTGGGGCCAACTCTCAACTGATTGCCGGGCAATTTTGTTGGCTAACCCCCCATTTCTGCTGTTGAGCTCCGTTAATTGCCTTATAAACTCCAATACCATTACACGGGTATGTTACTTGCCTTCACTTATTGAGATTTCTTGCTTCCTTTCTAGGATTTTACACCAGATACTCAAAGATATGATGTTATATGGATCCAGTGGTGCATTGGTCATCTCACAGACGAGGACTTTGTGTCTTTTTTCCAAAGGGCAAAGGTAAATTATGCTTTATTTTAATTATTAGTCTCTTGGGGTGCGGTGATCTTAACTGAAATGGGAGGAGATTCCCCCCCCCCCCCCCAAAAAAAAAATTTCAGGAATGGGATGATATATACACAGAAAGGGACGAGAGAAACCCAATAGCAGTCTGAATTCAGAATTGTAGACTGTGATATTGGAGTACGTTGCAATCCATCAATATCCCAGCTAGACAGACAACTAATCCCCAACCTTTTAAATTTGCATGTGCGTGTGTAGTACTAAGTTTCATAATGTGCTCATTTTCTGATCGAACTGAATAATATCACTTGTAGGTTGGCCTCAAACCTGGTGGTTTTTTAGTCCTCAAGGAGAATATTGCAAGAAAGGGTATTATGCTTTTTCTTTTTCTTTTCTTCTTTTGCTATTTTTTTTCCCAATCAAGCTGATTATATTTTTTCATGCACTTTATGAGCTAAAAGAAGTTTCGGCTTGGCCAGCATTTTGGGAAAACTTGTAGCCTCAGACTTGAAAATTTTAAGTCTTTTAACTTCTCATTATTCTGCCCCTGGAAGTCCTCAGATATGGAGATTCCAGGTGGATCCATAGAAATAACACTTGTTATAGTTGGATAGGATCAATACATTTGAATATGCTTATAAGACACTGCTGTAAACTTACATGGGAAAAGAGCTGGTCAAGGTAAACCCCACATTTAAAACTTGTGTGAGTCCCATGCATAGCACAGAATATGAGAAAAGAGCTGCCCTATTTGTAGCTCATGAATAAAATAGCGCAGCTTATTAAAGTTTCTGTACTATCTAATAATTTATAAGTTGAAATTACTTTCGACCTGTAATGAATACAAACTAAATTTCTTAACATAGGTTAACTGTGGAATGACTTATAAGTTCTCTTGATAAGTTGTGTAGCATCAGAGATTTAGATTTAGTTGTCTATTATTGCTGTTGATATTCTGACTTTCCTTTTATACTTTCTTTCCATTTGTTTTTATATCTTCCAATCTCTAAAAGATGCAGTGTTCATTTTTTTTTTTTTTTTTTTTGAATAATACTGAAACTACATTAATCAAAAACCAAAAGAGGTACAAATGTAATTAGTACAAAGAGTCAATCTCCTTTCATCATCCGCCACCTTTAAACAAGGTGGGGGTTGACCAAGGGTGCAAAGATCATTGCTAATCCCATGTGAAAGTTGAGCTAACATATGATCACATTTGTTTGCTTCCCTATACACAAAATGGAAAGAAATCTGCCAGTCCCTTCTGGGGTGAAGACTGGCTATATCAATGAATATAATTAATGGATGCTGGTCAGAACTGGCTCTGGTGATCGTTCGAGTTGCCTCAGCAATGTCACAACAAATTTAAATGGATCTGTACTCTCTTTCCAAGCACAGCTTTAGCCCCTCAATAATTTCCTAACAGCGGGGGGAGAGTTTTTGGGTTTACAGGAAAACCCCTGTACAATGTTTTTTTCAATCTGTGTAGATTGAGTCATTGTTTGAAAATTTTCTCTCATCCTTATAGACTCTTAAATTAAATCACATCATCCCTAAGTAACACACACACACACAAAATATGCATGTATTTATCATTAGGATCTTGTAGTGATTGGCTTTTATTGTTTGGATGTGTCTTTGTTTTCATCCTTTGCAGGATTTGTGCTAGACAATGATGATCGGAGCATTACAAGATCTGATTTATACTTTAAAGAACTCTTTTCTAGGTGTGGATTGCATATTTTCAAAATAAAGGTAAATTACTGTTGGTTCTTGTAGAAGCCTAAAGTGTCTCATCTTCCTTGGATCCAGCAGAAAGCGCTGATACTTTAAAATTGCAGTACTATCGTCTCTGATTTACGTGTATTTGACACTCATATTGGCTACAACACACTTCAAATTAGTGTCTACCCCACATGAAAATTGTAGTGATTTGTGTGAAAAATGAGAATTTTTGGAAACGACTGGAAGTTGAAAAATTAAATGAAACAAATCAACAATCATATCAATGAACACTAAATAATGTTTTCCAGTCTAGATAATGTCATATATTGATGACATTTGAGCCAATATGTCTTTTATGTCGCAGTACTTATATGACGTCTTATATATTGATGATAAACTGAATTTGGAGTATTCCAGATGTGCCGCGGCAGTCTAACATTCTTTTTCTCTTATATTCATTTTTGTCTTTGATCAGGATCAAAGGGGATTCCCTGAGGGATTATTTGCTGTAAAGATGTATGCCTTAACCACGGATGTTCCAAAGAAGGTTCACCGCACCAAGTCTAAAGTACGAGCTAATAGACCTAGACCCAGAATAATCAAGTGAGTATTTTGTTTTTTAGAATCAATGAAGGTATAGTAGATGATTAAGGCTCCCTTCGGATGGATTCTTATTGGAGCTTGTCACGTGATTTTGTTATGACTTTATTATGACGCTTGTGAAGCGTTTATAAAGTAGCTTCAATCTTATTTTGAACTCATGATTGGAAAGAAAAATTCTTATTTTTTTTTTTCTCGAATTCTTATGATTTTTTACTTCAATCATTCTAGCTTTTACCACGTGGTTGTGTTTTTGAAGTCTAAACCATGAATTTGTCTTCTGCAATGCGTTCATCTAGCTGCCACTAATTCTTGTAACGTTGCAAATATAAATTCTATCAAATTTCGAGATAGGATAAAAAGACTATTTTTGTACTGCAGCTTTCAAGTGTTGCCAGCTTTTGAACACTCAAGAAATTGAGGGTCATTTAAGCAAAGAAAATATCTTAACAGTCTTAAAGATGAAAATGTTGATTCTATATTCAATATTGAAATGGTTTTGTAAATTAGATGCATGGTTTGTTAATAATACAGTTTAATTTAGATTTTAAAGTGAAATATGATAACATTCCCCGCCTCCAAAATTGTTATTACAATTCAAATAGTAGTTTTAGTTAATATATATAATGAGTAAGGATGTTTTATAGAAGATAACATTTATAATAAAACTAACGTAATAAACTTTTTTAATGTACTTAAATTAATTAACTAGTTTTTATCTTTTGAAATATTTAGAACCATCTTTTCATATAACAACAATTACAATTAAACCATTACTCCATTGAAAGAATTTTACCAAACCACCCCTTCTCATATTCACGTAATGGATAAACGTTATCCAAATTATTTGTCAGGCCCATCTATTATACTTCCAAGATGAACATACGATATTCACATATACCACAAGTTAAAGCATATGCAACTAAAAATTCAGGTTCTCCAGCCATAATATTTACACGGTATAAGACGAGACCAAACCTTGATGACAATGAAAAATTAAAAAAAAGTATACGTACTTATAAAATGGTTTTCCAAAAGGGATGAGTGCTATTTGAACAAATGTTCTTAACATTTTTATTGAAATGAATAAAGAAGTTATATATATATTTATATATTTCAAGCAGTCTTTGTTTTATGTTAAAAACTAGTGTCTTGTTTGATTTCTCTTTTTTTTTTAATTGATTTTTTATATTTATAATGATAGAATATTTATGCAAAATAGATTACATGTATATGTTTGTTAGTTTTTAACATAGAAAGAACTTGAATTTTTTAATAAAAATAGGTTTACTTCAATTTGATCTTCTTTTTTTAAAAAAAAAAAAAGTGAAAGTGATTTTGAAAAGTAAAAAAAGAAAAAAAAAAAAAAAAGTGCGTCCGTGAGCCGACCCGCTTGGAAGTTTTCATGATTAGCTTGCCTCGTTTAACTCGCAATCTCAAGGTTGATCTGTATTCCCAACTCTATCATTGCAACATGATAGCATTGAAGCATTAAAAAAAAAAAAAAAAGACACTCAACCACACACTGGTTATTGGGTGAAGCCCTTAAGTCAAACCTTCAAGTACCCATTTGAAATCCATTGTCCCAATCAATGGGGATTGGGTTTAGTAAAGAGGACTAGTAACTACTCCCTCACAATATGAAAAACTAAAGTTCAAATTCTTACTAAAAGAAAAGAAGGTCATATTTAGTGCTCCAAAGTGCTGATATTGCCTGTGTCAAGAAAAGAAAAGAAAAAATACATTGTCCCAAACCGTCCTAGTGGCCCAGGAACATGCTTCCACTTCGAACCAGGACACAGTGTAGCATCCACCAAATGGCAAAGGAAGAAACTTTGCCGTGCAATGAGTTGTTCGGGAAAATTGACCTGTGATTGTTGCGTTAACTGGAAAGGGACATTCTTGTCATGTAAGATAATAAACATGGGCTTTCTTGTCTTTTACAGAGAACCCGAATTAGAGTCAAGTTCGAAGCCATTCGAAGCCCTTCGAGGAATTAGCGAATAAGAGTCAAGTTCGAAGCCATTCGAGAAACTAACGAGTAAGTTCCTTTTTTCCCCCTTACTAACAAGTTCTTTGCCAGAAAAATCACAAAAAAAAAATCCTTAAATGTATAAAATTGCGAAATAGACTCCTGAATTAACATAATTACTTGAAGTGACTGAGTCTTAAATTATAATTATGAAATAATGGCTAAAAGATCAAAAAGTCCCTCCGTAACTTGGTAATATTTATTGAGGCAGAGACAAAAAAAGTTCATGGTAGGAGCTGAATGCGAAGGAAGGTACCGACATTTTGGAACTTGCAAATATGGGAATCAAGTGAGTAATATTTCTAACTACACTTTTCCTTTGTTCTTCCCCCTGAGACCTAGTAATATGATTTTCTTGTTCATTTTGGTGAGTTGTGTTGTGGGTGGGGTTATACGTTGGGAGAGAGTGAGAGTTGAAGTTGATGATGAGAGATGTCAGTTAGAGGAGGCTATTGTTAGTTTGAAGTGGGGTATTTTTGCTTATAACAGTCACATTGTTGACCTTTGATTTGTGTGGGGTTGGTTGCAATGGAGAGGAGTTGAGAATGTTAGGAATGGCAAGGTGTAGGAGGAAAAATAGAAGGTAATGGATGTTTGCTTGAGTGTAAAATGGAAGAAGGTAATGGATACTTTCAGTATGTTTAGATATAATGATAGTAATACTTATTTGTATATAGTAGCCAAAGGGAATGACGAGGAAAAAAAGCAATGAATGATGCAGAAATGTAAGTGCTAATATTTTTGCAGTAAATTGTTATTTAGTAATGAATTGTTGCTAATTTATTTACTAAACTTGTAATTTTTATATCCAAACTTGTTATTTCACTAACTAAGCATAATTTTTCATATCCAAACATGTTATTTCACTTATTAGACTTGTAATTTTCATACCCAAAATTGTTTCACTTATCAAACTTGTAATTTTTATATGTAGACTTGTTATTTGACATGCTGCACTTGTAATTTTTAAATGCAAACTTATTATTTGATATACTGTATTTGTAATTTTCATATCCAGACTTGTTATTTGATATACTTTACTTGTAATTTTTATATCTAAACTTGTTATTTGACACACCACACTTGTAATTTTCACATTCATACTTGTTATTTAACTAATTAAACTTGTAATTTTTATATTCAAACTTGTAATTTCACTTGCTAGACTTATAATTTTCATATGCATACTTGTTATTTCATTTACTAGAATTGTAATTTTCTTATCCGTATTTGTTAATTTACTAACTAAACTTGTAATTTAAATAACTGTATTATACTAGCAGAATTGAGAATATGAGCCACCAAGTGTTGAGAACGGTGGTGAGTATCTAACTTAGGGGTGTTTGGGAACTTGAAAAAATGCTTTTCAAAAGCACTTTTCTGCAAAATGAGATAAACTCCTCTACATATTTATTTCGTATACTGTACAAACATTTCTAAAACTATAGTTTGGTTTCTATTCAAACACCCCCTTAATTAGATATGGGACAGAAGTTTGTAGCCAAATATGTAAGAAATAATAAGGACAGGATGTATGTGGGGTGTAAAGTGGAAGAGTGTTCTTGGGAGATATGGGCAAATACTGCTACGAAGGATGCTTCTTTATATGTGTGATTATATTTTGTAATGAGCATATTCTAGTACAAAAAAGTCTACCATTACAAAAATCTTGACTGATCTTAATTTAGATATGAGACAACTAATTTTTTGGCGCATAAGGCTCCACTTATCATTTTTTTTTGGAGAAGGGTGTTAGTAGATGTGCACACCAATTTTTATAAGTAATATGCCTGGTGACAAAAGAACATTAAGTTGATAGATCATCTTAGTATGCTCTTATCATTGAATATTGCAAAAAATTGTTACTATCAAATACATAACATTTTTTTTTTGTTATTTCACATACTATTATTGCAATTTCACATGGCAGTGTTGTAATTGCAGATTTATTACTATGATGACAATAATATTACATGATGATAAGAAAATGGTGGTATTTTGTTGATAGGCACAACAATTTCCTCATTTCGCATTTGTTAGTTGTTAATGGTAACAATATAGATATGTTACATTTTGGCTTTTTATTTCATTTATCTATAAAGACTTCCTCCTTCTTCTGGCTCTTCATCTCTTGTTTGGTTGTAGAATAAGTTTCAATGCATTTCCTCATGGCATTCATTCTCATTATGGTTGACTAACGACCATATGGGATCTTGTCGAAAAGTTGACACTTCACCCTGCACAACAAATTGAGCACTCAATTAATCCAATATAAACTTATTATTTTCAATTATAAACTTGTTAAATCCCCACAAGTAACTTGATATTCCCAACTAGTTCACAAATTTGTTATTTCCTATTATAAACTTGTCAAATCTTCAAACTCAACTTGTTATTTCCAACCATTTCATATTGTTATTTCTAATTATATATTTGTTATTTCCTATTATAAACTTATCAGTTCCTCATATTCAACTTGTTCTTCTTAAATATTTAAAAAATTGATATTTTCATTACTAAACATGTTAAATCCTCATAGTGATCTTGTCATCTACAAGTAAACAAAGACTTGCTTTTTCAACAGCCTACCCTTATCATTTCCAGTCACAAACTTGCTACCTAGCAACTAAACTTTCTTCAAATAACAACTTATTTAGAAACAACAACTCTTTAATTAGAAATAACAATTCTTTCCATTCAATCCTAGAGTCTTTAACCAATGCCATTTTCTCACGCACTTGATATTTCCAGTTAGTAACGAAATCATGAAGAGTTTTTCATCTTCAAATTAAAACATATTATTATTTTTCAGTTTTATTCTGGGAACAATAAGGTCTATATTTTACAGGACAAAACACATGAATAAAACTTCTGACAATTAGAGTTCTCGCTAAATAGGAACGGTAGCATTGTAACAAAAAATAGAGAGAAAGCATGAGTAAAAACAATTGGAAGACTTCATTTGAACTATACCAAAAAGTTGGATGCAATTCACAAATTTTGAATCACACAGCAAGTGGGTTACGTACAGCCTATTGGCCATGAATTATTAATATATAGAGCTACATCATCACGAGAATTATAATCATCAGGAATTCAGGCCTAAATGCACACATGCTTATTTGAATCTATAACATCCCGAATTTTTTACTTAGAGGTACAAGAAGT